TTACCTGTTAAATGATCGTCCAACGTTTCGGAATGTTGCTGAATGACGTCTTTTTCTGTCTGGCCCTCCTTTCCCCTTTTCGCACGAAGCGGGAATTGCTTTTTTATACAAGTGAAACAGTAAGCCTGTAGCAAGAAAAAAAAGGCAAGAATAAAAAAGGGATCCAATGCCGAAAGAATCCACAAGAAGAAACAAAATATATTCAATCAAAAAACGATGTTGGGACGGGCGAATGCCGGAGGAATTGCCTCTGAATCAAGAGGCCGAAGGAGAGGATGAAGCTTGACGAATGGGGGGGTTTGGGGGGAAGGAAGCAGAGAGGGGAACCGAATAAGCGGATGGGAAAGCTGACGGTTGACCCTCAATTGCCATACAGGCCACACCACGGTCTGAAACCCCCAAAAAAAAACTTCCGCGAAAACAACCTCGAGATTTTCCTGACTTTTTTTTTTCTGCTTGTGCGATTTCTGATGTTATCGCTTGTTGGCTTTTTGGATTCAACACGTTTTCTTCACTGATGGGGAATGTATGGAAGAGATCGGGGTCTCTTCTCAATAGTCCAGATATGATGAAAAGGGGGGGGCAACTCAGTCTGAAGATCAGAAGCTGTTGAGTTGGCGTCTTTCTGTTATGAGGACGATACGCTCATCCCCTGATCGAAAGATTGAGACGGTCAAGTAACCTTTTCTCGTAGTGGACCGAAATATACGAGGCAGAAGCACGAAGTATCTGACCACAGAGAGGGAATGACACAGACAAATGATCTGATAGAATCACGAGGTGAACAATAATTGACAAGTCCTGAAGGAATGATGGGAGAAGTTGCTATCAGAGGAAAGAGGGAGGGGTGGAATCAAAGAAGAGAGAAGGAGGGAGATGAAGGGCAGTAGAGGGTAGAGGAGAAAGAAGATGAAGATTGAGAGAATGAAAGGATATGGAGCTTTAGTGTACGACCTTCCTTCGTAGTGGTGCTGGTAATGGTATAATGGGAATCAGTCGGATCAAGTGAACAATACCATCCATACAGTAGGTACACCCTATAGAAGTACCCCAAATGGCGATGTGGGGGAAAATACGACAAGACAAAAAACCAGCAAAACCGTTGGAAAGGTAATCAAAACAAGCACTCATCGTACATCCTAGCTATATAGACTAATAGATGGTGTGGAATAGTTTTATGCTTCACCTAGGGAAGAAGGCGATTTTTTTTCCCCCTCTCTTTTATCTGGTTTATTTGTTGACGATTCTACAATCGTTGGTTACGATGGATGATAAGGGTAGGAGGTAGGTAGGAGGCAAAGAAAACTAGTCGAAGACTTGAGCTACCTGATTTAGCTTGTCATTAGGTATTTAAGACAAAGTTACCAGAATTGCAATACCTAAGGTCTGTCCAATGGTTCAGACGTGGTTGCATCTTGGTTCGCTCCTGTCGCTGGATGGATCGTTTTCTTTCCATTTTCCCTTTTAGTCCCTTATAAGAAAACCTGGAGGGAAAATTAGCACCATCAACCATACCCGAGGAAGCATACCACATGGGGAATGAGAGAAGATTTAAGCATAACTATTCTCATCCTGCTAAAATTAAAATCCTCCCCCTAGAATGAGCCGGTTGGGTGCATCTTCAAAGTCAGGAGACCGTTGTATTACCTATTCATAGTAGGGTACCTTGGGTGATCTCCGGTCTTTGCTCACTAGCCTCAGAACAGTCTAGCGAGCTTGTATCGGGGTATTACCTTAGTACCGGCCTACCAGAAGGTTCATGCGGGCGTAGTTGGTCTCCATCGGTATTGATAATCCTTGCCTACACTGCGACCGGCCCAATAGTTCCCTTTTTTTGGGTTCAAAGAGACCCATAATAGCTGTTGGCGGGGCTCCGGATAAGACTGAGATTGGACAACTGCGGTATCCAGTGTGTTTTCGTTGTTCGTATTGTGAGAGACAGATTAATGTTCAATCTAACACCGAAACCTGAAGGCGAAGATGTCTCTGATCGGATGGCAAAAGTTTTTGGTCAACTGACCGAGAGTATGGCTTGACTCCTTGAGGCTTACTTTCTTCAATACGCTCGTGGTGTTCATGATGATGCAAAGGGCCCCATTCCCGCCCTTCAAACCGAGGAACGGGGTGCCGAACTAATGGACAATCATGCGAGTAGATCCAATGATGGTGACAGTGAAGCTGTTGGTTTGAGTTGTTTGACGATCTTCAGCTCCTAATTTTCAAGGCTCCTCGCACCCTGCCTACGGCTACCCATAACGACCACATGTGTAACTCAGTATCATATTTCTTCCTCGCTGACTAACCATCATGTGGTTCATTCCAAAATCATGACTAAGTCACATTTGATTTGACGAAGCATTCTACTGCAAACAAAGGTCGCGTACAGCTAATTCCATCGGAGACTTTACCAGATTCCCTCGTGAAGCTGTTTATTGACAGCTACTCCGTGGCCACGCTCCTTTTCAGTTTCAGTATATCCTCATCCCGCATACTGCGGGAGCATTCATCCTGGTTTCCCAATCGTTTACCAGGATTTTCGGGTAGTGCACCGACTACTTTCTCGAAGTCCGAGGCCTGCCCCGTTTTGTCGGAGCCACCAAGCTAACCGCTTCGACTCCTTGCCATTGACTGCTATTATAAGTGTGCGAGCCCCTTGTTATACGAGATTGACGGTTCTATTGAATGTGAGGGTTTCCATACTCGGAATATAAGTATTTCCGGAATAGCCCAGGGTCATTGGATAACGAATTGCGGGTTCTACTGGTCATTCATTGTGTACAAGATATGTTCTAAAACTCACATTGCACAATTGATTGGGCATCTTTTGCAAGACATTCTTTTGGAGTCTCCCTTGACACTTTTGACCTTTTTCCCCAGCCCTGGTAAGCCGTTTCGGGATACACATCGCTTTTACGACAAAGCTTTCCTACCACGTGCACACCTGCGAGATGGGGCGCTTAAGTTACCCTCAAGAGCTGGACAGTCCGTCCCGGCAACTCGTGCTAGAATTGGCTCGAGATCTGGAGCAACTCCGCGTTCACAATACCGAATTGAAGAAAGTCAAAGCCTATGAACGCCGGTCCTTCTACGAGTCTCTTGATCGGATCGATAATGAACTAGAAGCCCAACACAATGAAGCTCTCGATAAAGTTGCCAAACTACATGACCAAGTACTGGAGGAAGCCGAAGAAACTTTGCGAGTGCATCAGCGAGCGGTAGAGGAGGAGAATCGCCGTAAGGAAGAAGAAGCCCGGAGGGAGGCGGAGCGCATCGAGCGTGAGAAAGCAGAAAGACTACGCCGTGAGCAGGAAGAAGCTGCACGCCGAGAAGCTGAACGAAAGGCGGCAGAGGAAGCCAGAAAGAAGGCCGAAGCAGAGGCGGAAAGGCAACGACGGGCAGCGCAAGAGGAAAAGGAACGGAAAGAACGGGAACGATTGGAGGAAGAGAACCGGAAGCGTCAAGCAGAGGCACAGAAAGCGGAGCAGGAAGCGGCAAGGCTAAAAGCTGAAGCTGCACAAAAATCACGGGAAGAGCAACAGAAGAAGGTCGGTGGGGCGCGTTTGACGGAGGAAGAGATCAATGTGCAAGCACGCTATGTAGAGCTGCACCAGCATCTCAAGAAGTTTAGACAATACCTGAAGGATGAAGGAAAATCCAACGCGGTGGTCAAACAGAACATGGGTGACATGCGTCGATCCATCAAGAAATGTGTCGGCCAGCTACGAGAAGGAAAGGGTACTAACAAGGGCCAGGTACGTGTGATCATCTCCACCAAAAGAGAAACAATGCATGAGAGACTGGGAAGCTAACAGAAGCACTCCTTCTAGCTCGTAGAAATCCGCGCGACTCTCGAGAAGGCTGCCTCCATCCCAGAACCATCTGTCGATATCCGCCAATTCATGGCCTTTCCGCCAGAGGACATTGCCAATTCCGATGACAACAAGGTGCCGGCTTTGTTGATCTACGCCCTGAATATATTCTCGAAATCTTTAATCTCGTCTCTAATCACGGAAGCTTCTATCAACCCTGGCCATGCAGAGCCAGTTGGAATTGTAGCTGCGCAGATCTTCTCCATGGACGCCTTTGTTTATAAAGGTCATCATATGGTTGACATACTTTGGGCCAAGTATCGCGTCGTCTGTCCGGCACTCTGGGGATTCTACGGCAATGAAAAGACCGAAGCCGGTAGGCGTGCCTTAGGATGGTGGCGTGAAGCACCAGGAGGTCCTTTTATCAGCGAACAGGTCCATATGGACCGAATGACAGCTCTTGGTGCTGGGTTTGCGGCGCTCACTCTGCGCAATTTTGGAAAAACCCCGCGGAAGAATCCATTTCCCAACCACATGTTTTGGCATGCGATGCAAAGGATATTGATGATTCCCCCGAGCGAGATTCAGGAGACACATGTTATCCTGCTTTCGGCCATGCTCAAATCTTCCGCTGAAAGGATTGTCGGCTTCTTTGGCCATTTCGGTCTGGCATTAATGAGGAAGGCCATTGTCGATCTACCAAATAGCGTTCCTCGTCAGAGTATGGGCGTTAATCAGCTGAAACTTCTGAAAGACCTGTACAAGCGAGAGAAGAACATCATTATCTGAGAGGGCCGTGACCGGATACAGTCTCTGTCGGCGCAGCGGAATCCGTCTCGGGGCTTATTGCGAGTTGTTCATTTCCTTTAACCTTACCAAAGGACAAATGGAAGTGCGCAATCCTAATGTCGCACGATTAGTCGATAAGCGCCGACATAATCCCGATGCTGACCGAATCATCACCGCCATACCTCCGGTTCACGGCCTAAGTGAGGCTGGTGAATCTGGTAAATATGCGGTCAACGAAAAATAGTCGGATCTTCGTGTATAACCGGATTTCACGGCGCAAACAGTCATCACTGTTTACCTACGTTACCCAATCGAGGCACTGTCTTCCATCATGTTCAGGATTTAAAAGCCCTACTAGCCATACCGCCAATTCCTGTATGGCGGCCGAAGAGGTTGGGCACGGGTTCTAATTGTACAACATTACGTGTGGCGGTGTTGACAACCAAACCAAGTGGTCTCTTAATGACCGTTGTTATAAGGTTGAGTTTCGTGTACACGGCTTTCGGGTCACGGCAAGGTTTTGGCTGCTGTCGGGAATTATACTTAGTTTATCACCAGTTCCGATCGGCCCACCATCACGCAACTACGGGACTGCCGAGTCTATCATTCGTCCGCCAGGTGCACTTCACTAACTTGATACCGATACCGCGATACATATGGATGACATCCTGGTTTTATCCTGAACTGCATCATACGTTCACGCATCGGATGCCGATCCTTTGTTCAGCGGTATCCTTGACAGCTATCACTGCATTTGACTCGTCTTTATATTCGGCGCCTTCTCACCGACGAAAGTAAACCATAGGGGTAGAATAATAATGAACTATATACATATCACCTATCGTCATCCATCACTGCTGAGCAGTCTCAATCTTATCTCTTTCAGTCTAGATACCTGATTCTTCCTCTCCCACGCCATCATTACTCGCAAGCAATGGCTGCGTATCTCCCTTTAGAGATCGTCCAGTCCTTCCTTCTCCATCTCGATGTGGAAACATATATTGCTGCACGGCAGACATGTCGCTCCTGGCGATGTGCGGCGTCGGCACCATACATGTTCAGCAAAGCTCTACAGCAAGTCCCGGTGTCATTACCTCCAACGATAAACACCCTGACTCAAGATCAATGGACCACATACTTCGCACAGATCACCCGCTTGAATCTACTGCACTGCCGACAGGATATTAGGAAGTCGGTGACCCAACGGGACCTCCCCCATGAATGCTCCGCTACCACTGTGGTGGGCACCTCAACTGATGGACGGAAACTCGTGACTCTGAAAGGAGGGCGGGCGACCCTCTACGAGCGTGCAAACCTGACAAGTCCATGGGAGTACTCCCGGTGTATGACACTCTGTTCGCAATGGACCTCTGTCGCCCGTGCCATGCTAGAAGGGGGAACCGCAGGCTGCATGTCTATCAACCAGCGATACGCAAAACAGAGTATCGCTGTCTCCTCTCAAGGGGACCTTATCGCCGTAGGGCTGGGGAGAACAATCCAAATCTACAGCCTTCGCAAGGATCAGCATCTTCTGTCTCCCGCAGAATATGTACTAGGCCAAGATAGCTCATTGACCAGCACCACACGAGGCCAGTACGAGGACACAGACGGCGTCATCGATTCCCTAGAATTTACCGACGACGACACTCTCCTCCGTATCTCGATCAACAAGGAAACAACCATTCATCAACCCACCCGAGTGCGGTACTTGGGCTGTCCGGACCTCGCACAAAACCAACCCGACCTCAACTACTGGCGAGCAAACATCAACCGGATCTACCTCGACTCAGCAGCTTTGTCAGTGGCACTTGCAGGACAGGACGAATACCGGCTGATCTTCCGAGGCCTACGACTCCTCCCCCCATCATACCCCGCCACCCAGCAACAAGAACAAGAAGACCAGCAGACCTCTCCTCCAACGCCACGCTACTTCGTCGCATCACTGCAGTCAGGCGTCATCCACGGGTACTGTATCGGTCTCGCAACACCTCTCACATCCACCCCTCCCCAAACAGTGAAGGTACACCGACTCCTCCCATCCGCCTACTTCCGCCCCGGAGACGGCATCACAGGCACCCGCACAGAGGAACTGCCACCACTCAACCCACTCCTCCCATCCAGCCGCTGCGACGAGCAACACATAACATACAACCTGCTAGACACAGTCCCGCGGTGGAGCGCAGCCAACCTCCCATCGGCGACCTTCCCATCCCCCCTCCTATCCATCTCCACCGACCACAAAATCCTCGCCCTCTACGAACCAAGCGGCAACTACTCCCCCGCCATCGTCTCCGGCGGCTCGTTATACCTATACTGTCTCGAAAACTGCCGCCCCATATACCAACCGGGTCCGCAGAGATTCAAACAGCCAACCCAGAAGACCTCCCTCCCTCATCAGCGGGCTGATGGCCCTGAGGACAAATTCAGCGTCGATGCCAGATATCCGCCCCCGGATATCGTTCCCTCTTGGCCATTCCTTCTTGACAAAGTGCCCGTTGATATCGACTCTCTTGAAGTAAAACGGTCAACTCATGACGACGGTGTGGTCAACTCGAAGAGTTGTGCATATACTGTTACCGCGCGTTCGGGCGGACAGGTTCTGGAGTGGCGGATGAGTGCTTAGGATGTGTCGGATTCTATGGATCTTTTTTCGTTTGCTCTCTTTTGGGGAGGGGGTATCTTCTCCAATCGGATAGACTGGTGTTTCATGGTATTATATTTAATGGGATAGATCCGGATATAAAGTTGTCTTAATGTATACTTATACGAGTGATAATATGGATAGATCAGGAAATACATACGAAAGATCTGGCAACCTCAGCCTTGTGGGTTCAATGCCAGAGAATGTATTACTGTATGTTCAATTAATTATTAACGGGTGTTGTATTTACACACACTAGCAGCCAAGGCTGGTAGCAAAATGGACCACATAGAGGGGAAAGCGTAAACAGATGCATATGCTTGGAATATTTTCTGTACGAAAGTCACTCGCAAGGCAACCATTTCACTGTTGGAGAAATGGGGGAACCAAAGTAGAGAGTGCTAAGATAACGAGCGAGAGGTCAAGTCCATTATAAACATTTGGAAGCCAAAGAATTGTACAAAAGATTGCCGCAGACTCATACAGATGGTATTGGTATCAGGGGGGAGAAAAGACAGAGACCAAAATTGAAAAAAAAGGTGTAGAAATTCAAAGAAAAAAAAGATCGTAATCCCACTGCCATTAGAAACAAGAGAAGCTTAACCGCAAAACACACAATGCAAAAGATCAAAAGAGAGCAAGCTAGTATGCAGCATAATGTCACATGTAATAATACTGGTCTGGATTGAAGTGCTAATCAGCTATCAATCCAGAGTGAAAGCTAGGGGGAAAATATAAACAATCTAAGACGTTATTTGCGGTCCAAATGGGCCATCTCCGGTCTCTTTAGGTGACGCCGAGACGAGACCATCAACCGTGCTTTCGTTTTCTTCTGCCCAAGAACCCTCTCCATAGTCGGTAGGCTCGGCATCATGGTCATAGCTTGACCTTCGCAGCAGAGGGGGGGTCCTTGGTGGTTCTTGCATTCTGCTCGCGCGTGCTGAGGTTTGTCTCGGGGTAGTATCAATGCTTCTGAGGGCGCGACTCTCTGATGGTCGTCTCCAGCCTCCTGTAGCGGGAGCAGTCGCGTTTGCAGTGGCTTGTCGGGCGTTGGAACCAGGAGGTGTCAGCAGTCCGGATAGGAAAGCAGTTGCATTACTCGGCTTGGACGGTGTTTGTTCAGAAGCGCCGGTGTTTGGGGCTTCTCTACCCCTGCGCCAGTTGCCCCATGCGGCAGCGGCAGCGAGAGGTAAAGAGCGTGGTGATGCAGTTAACTCGGAAAGAGAAGGAAAACTGGGGAAACTCTGTCCTGAGAGGGCCCTCTCCTTTTCTTGCTGCTGCATTTGCAGATTTGCTTTCAAACGGATGGCAGCATCACGTACAGTGTTGTGATCAAACGATGGTTGTGACAAAGTCCTGATGATATCCTGTAGATCGTCGATACGGACTCCAAGAAGCTCACGCAGCCAGGTGATTTCTGTGTCTTTCTCTTTGAGCTTGTTCGGTGCATCCTTGTCGAAAGAAGCAACCTCTTGCTCTAGTTCCTCGATGCGGGTCTCGCGCTGCTGCAGTTGGTCCTGTAGGACGAGAATCGACTCACGTAAGGCCTGAGGAGAGATCTTCTCAGGGACCATAGTTCCCTGGCTGAATGACAACGATGGAGATGTAGAGTGTGCGGAAGACGACACTGTAGGAACTGCCTTGGCTGCCTGAGCGGCTTCAGCGGCGGCACGAGCAGCGGACTGAGCGATTTCGAGCTTCTCTTCCAGATGATTGACACGATCCTGAAGGTGCTTAGCCTTATCTTCCGACAGTTCCAAGCGTTCCGTCAAATGAGATTCTGCTCGCTGTCTATCCTCCGATGCATTGTGCAAGGCGCGGGCATGGCGCTCGCGAAGATCATTGAGGACGCGCTCATGCAGCTTGCGCTGCTCTTCCATAGCAAGGTCGTGAGTGTTAGCCATCGAGGCCATACCACTGGCCTTAGTCTCATTGGCCTCCTCCAGCAGCATCTCGTAGCGCTGTTGTGCGGTATCACTATCGAGCCGGACACTATCCAGTTGACCCTGGAGACGCAGGATTTGTGCTTCCAACTCTGCACGGACAATGTTGACCTGGCTGTTAGCAGCCTCGACATCCGTCTCCAACGAAGATCTGGTACGCTGGATTTCCACCCTACTGCTCTCCCGTGCCTCATTAAACTCGCGCTCAAAACGGGCTGCCTTTAACTCTAAATCGTGGTTCTCAATTCTGAGGTTTGCCACTAGCTCTTCCAACCTGGCATTCTCTTGCTGAGACTGACCAAAGATGAACTTTAGCTTCACCGCTTCTCGCTCCTGCTGTTCGAGCTCGCTGATATCGACCTCAAGCTTCTCGCGGAGTTTCACTTCACGGTTGTAAGCAGCCTGGAGTTCGTTATACTTGGCTACATGCTCTTCTTGCCGTCTGCGCCAGGAGGCTTGGTCGCGGGTAATATCCCGAGTCACAGTCGCCATCTCGTCCTGGAGGCGGTCGAACCTTTCGCTTAGATTTTGTCGTACACTCAATCCATCCTCAATCCGCGACTTCATATGATCGATGGTGACACGTAGATCCTTATTTTCAATTTTCATTTCATCAATCTGGGCCTTGGACCGCTCACTCTCCTGCTTCCAGTGATCACTAGAGAATCGGTATTCGTCCAAGGTACCTTCGAGGGAGATGTTCTTCGAGGAAATTTCGGCTAGAGTTAATTTGAGTTTGGCATGTTCTTGCTCAAGTGCTTCAGACCTTGACTGGACCTGTTCGAAATAAGGAATCTTTTCTTCCTTGAAGTGGAGCAGGCGAGTCTCAGCAGATTCAGCAGCCTCGCTATGACGAGCAGCATTGTCCTCAGAAACTTTGAGAAGGTGCTGAAGTTCTATAACAGAGTCCTGAGCTTCTCTACGCTTCTTGTATTCCTCCTCAGCACGCTCATCGCTTACTCTTAGCATTTCTTTCAGGCCATCAATCTGAAGCATGAGGCTATCGGCGCCGATCTCCTCGGCTTCAGAGGCGCGAGGCTTCTGCTGGCTAAACTGGGCCGAGACAACCTCTTCAATCATTTCTCTCAAATCGGTCGTAGAGTCTTGAGAGTGCTTCTTCAGTGTTAAAGCCTGTAGGTCTGTTACACTTTGGTGAAGTTGCGCGATTTCGGAATTGATAGACTTTTCTGTTTCATGCTGAGCATCACGGCTCGCTAACGCTTCGAGAATCACATTCTTTAACTTGTCGAGTTTGCGACCTCTCTGACGAACGGGGGACCTATCTCTGTAGGACGCATGCTCCTCATATTCTTCTTCGTCGTCGGCATCACTTTCCTCGCCCTCGACAGAGGCACTCCAGGACCATTTGTTTTGAGATCCTCCGAAGGCCATAGTGGAGATGGAGTTCTCAATAGCTATCAATGCACGCTCAAGAGGAGAGAGGCGCTCCTCAACAACGGAGCCGACAAGCTCATGAATGCGGCGATCGAAAAATCTGCTCCGGTTTGCCAGCTTCTCATCTTCGCCCGATGAAATAACATCGTCCCAGTCACTGATGTGATCGTTTCGACTAACCAACTGTCGGATGGGCGAGTGGATAACGGAGGCGAAGTTCTTCGAGGGGGTCGCTGAGAACTGGGACTGGGCATCGAAATCAAGTTTGGGCACATTCAATGCTTGGGATATATGACCCCTTCCTGGACTGGGGCTAGGGGCTTCACTCCTGATCTCTGCGTGGACATGTCGTTTTTCTTTTGACGGCGCTACAACAGATTCAGGGAATCGGTTTGTAGGATGAGGTGTGCTTAATCTCTCAATTCCTACATCCGAATCTTCATTCAGCTGTTCCATAACAGCGTTAAGTTCCTCATCATCCATGGACTCCTCCTCTTCAGACTGACGTCCTACGCCTGGTTCAAATTGAGGAGCGCCAGTTCTCAGCTCATCATCCAATGGGCCTGTTCCTGGTTGCGTCGACTCGACTAGCGCTGCAGCTGGTGAGCTTGCGACAGCATGCTGTGAAGCCACGATGTCGCCCTTCTCGACAACGTCTTCAGGAGCTGTTTTTGGCTCTTCAGCAACAACGGGGACAAACTCAGGCACGAATGGTTTGAATTCAAATGGCTTTGCATCTGGCGAAAGCACTGAACCATTCAAGCGAGTATCGGTAGATTCCTGTATGGATTGCTCTTTCTCTTTGGGGCCAATAGAAGGGGTAGCTGCGTCAACTGCTAGTGATGGCTTCAAGTCAGCATTCTCGTCACCAGCTACTTCCGGCTCGGGCTGTGTGGTCGCTGTCTGGTTCTGTCCTAATGCTTCCGCACGTGTGTCTGCACTCTCATCTTTCGTATCAGAAGGCATCCAGGTTGATGCTTCACTAACAGGTGTGTCTTTCCGCTCCTGTGCTTTGCGGTCCTGGACTGGAACGTCTTCCCTTTCCACTGAATTGACATCACCCTTATCAGGCGAAGTATTCTCTTTGCCTCCAGCGGACACATGCGTTGTATTGGGTAATTGGGTTGCTTGAGCATTGATGTTTTCTGACAGAGCATGAGACACGCTAATCTGAGCTTCTCCATCAGGGCCCTCCAGACTACGGCGGGCACGTTTGTGGCGATCTGTAGGAGCAGCAGGCCGGTCATTTTCATTCTCTGCCTCCTCTTCCTTGTATTGGTTAGGTTCGTCGTCATCTGGGCGTACAATTGGAATAGCTTTCGACTTTTTAGCAAGCTTCTGTGCTTGGGACAAGTCGACGTGATCAAAGATCTTAGTTCTGCCGCCTGAAGACTGTTCAGGGTCTGCCGAGTAATGGTTATTGGTTGGGTTGAAAACCGGGGCGGCGACATTGAAAGAGCCTGGCGTGAATGAAGGAGCGGTCACATTGAAGGAGTCTGCCGGCTGTTTGAAGCCCGCACCAGAGCCAAAGGCAAACATAGGATTGCCCGCTGCCGGGAATTGGAAGGAATTATCCTGGTATGGGAAGGCCTGTGAAGAAGTTGGCACCGTCGGGTCAAATTCTTTCGCATCAACATTTAAAGTAGAAGACGAAAGCTTTGAGCGGTGTCCGCCGCCGTATGACCCAGCGCTGGGATTTGGTTCATGCCAAGGTATATGACTTGCAAGCGGTCCATGAGGTGTGCCAGAAAGACTGGGGTTAGTATCGATATCTGAGCCTTCCTGTGCATTATCTCCTGGGTATACTCCGCCGTAATATTGATGTACATGTTGAGGCAAATGTTGGATATCGTGGTTGGTATTCTCTGGTAAAGCCCACCGAGACTTTAATATATCCGAGCCATTGAAACCATGGGGTTCGCGGTCACCTTCATCCAATTGTCTGTTTATCGACTCCTCCAAGTGGTATTCAGACTGCGCATATTGGTCAAGGCCTTTCTGAAGTGTCTCGCTTAGGTTGTGGC